GTGGCGGTGGCAGTGGCGGTGGCGGTGGTGGTGGCGGTGGTGGTGGTGGGAGCTCGTGGTGGTGGTGCCGATGCCGGTGCCGTTGCGGTGGCTGTGGCTGCGGCTGTTGCTTTTGTTATTGTAATTGCTACTGTCACTGTCACTGTTACTGCTGTACTGTAACTGTCACTGTTACCGTCACTGTCACTGCTACTGTTACTGCTACTGATACTGTTACTGTTGCTGCTGCTGTTGCTGCTGTGGTTGTTGCGGTGCTTGTTGGCATTGTTGCTGCTGCTGCTGATGGTACGTGACAAGTGGCAAGGTCGTAAGTGGTAAGTGGCAAGTACCAAATCGGAAGTAGTAGTAGGTAGCAAGAAGTGATAAGTCGTAAACAGTAAGTAGTAAGAAGCAGGTAGTAAGTACTAAGTAGAAGGTAATATTTAAGTAGATTCAATAAGTGGCAAGTAGTAAGTCAAGCAGTAATTGTGATACTTGTCGTTGTTGCTATTTGTAGTGGCAGCAGCAGGAGAAACCTGCTGCTAGTAGTACTAGTAGTAGTAGTAGCAGCAGCAGCAGCAGCAGTAGCAGTAGCAGCAGCAGCAGCAGCAGCAGCAGAAGTAGCAGCTGTAGTTGCGGTAGCAGCAGTAGCAGTAGCAGTAGGTAGTGATAGGTGGTAGTAGGCAGTAGTCGTTGTCGCCGTCGCCAGCCTGCTGCTATGACCCCTCTGAACTGCCCTACCATAACCACCACCACCAAGACGACTATTACTTCTGCTGACACCACCAGTCAGTACTACTGATGCTATTACTACTACTGCTACTGCTACTGCTACTGCTACTGCTACTGCTACTCATACTACTCCTGCTACTGCTACTGCTACTACTGCTACTACTGCTACTACTGCTACTACTGCTGCTACTACTACTACTACTACTACTACTACTACTACTATGGCTACTCCTACTACCCTACTACTCTTACGACTACTACTACTACTACTACTACTACTACTACTACTACTACTACTACTACTACAACTACAACTACTACTACTACTACTACTACTACTACTACGACTATGACTACGACTACGACTACGACTACGACTACGACTACGACTACGACTACGACTACGACTACGACTACGACTACGACGACTACTACTCCTGCTACTACTACTACTACTACTACAGCTTCTAGATCACGTTTATAGAACACGCAACCCCATGTACAAGTCAGGGAGCCGGGAAGCCCATGCAGCATGAAGGATTGCATCGCCTGCTTGATCTTCAAGACTCCTTGCGTCTACGCGGGAATGGGTTTGCATTTTGCGGGGGGTGAAGAGTCTCACAGAGACTGTGATGGGGAATCTGCTCTCGTGATTCCGCGACCAAGTTAGATCCAGTGCCGAACAAAGGGACCATAAGAATCGTCTGACACACAGAACTGCAAGACAACTCTGTGCGAAATTGCATACTGTCTACTGCGAGTCTACTGCCGAGTTGAGGGTTTCTAAGTTGACATGGTGGCCTGAGGGGAAGAACAATCGAAGGCATGATAAACATACGGTGTGCTACCTGACCTGTGCTTGAGGGCTCCGAGGAGCTTCAAACCCTATACAGCCCTCCCATGCCTCGTAAAGCCTATAATTACAAACCTAACATAAACCAGGCTTCTGCTGCAAACACCGAAGGTGCAAAGCGTCAAGAAGGGCCAGCTTTCGCCGTTCATACCCAGACAGCGTTTACCTTAAGAGTCCTAAGGACTAAGAACTCGACCCTTGTATTAGGAGTTTCTGATTATTGTATACTTGGACACTTGGGGTTAGAGTTTGTGTGACCCGTAGAAAGATTTGACAGCAAAGAGCAGAACATGCCGTAAGACCCTGCGAAGCCAATATCGGTGAATAGAGCTTTGTGCAATTTACCGTAAGGGGATATATTGGTGCTACGACGGAATACCATGTTGAGTCTGTCCGGTCCCCATACTATATGGTAGTGCTGCAGGGGCATGTACCACTTCCCAGCAAGGCAGTCGGTTGCCTGAGCCTCTCTCCGGCCCATGGGCTTCAACCCCAAATCTGGGGGTTTCACCCAGAAAAAACCTAAGGGATTCTGAAGCTAAACCCGTACTCCAAGCGTACACCCTGAACATTGGCTATTTCCATGGCAATGTCTGCTCGTTTTTGTCGCTACATCCCTTTGCTTCGAAACCCGAGCCAGGAATACGGATACAGCAATCTGGTCCTAATGTGGTCATCAGGGCATGTTAGCTGGTAAGACTTGGATTCATGATTTGTGGGAGGTCTGCCACAGTTCACAGGGCCTTAAATTGGTTTGCACAAGCCTGCAGAGCGAGTAAGGACCTCATCAAGAAAAAGAAGGCACGTAGGCGGCTCCTGTGATTTCGGGTCCATGTGCCTTCGTGATATGATATGTACTTATAAGGCCCTCAGGAGGTTGTCATACTTTAGTGACTCCGGGGCAAAAGTATTTCTTCTTTGTGGGCACATGGACCGTGAGGGATTCCTCAGTCAAGCCTAGTCTCGGAGTAATCGAAGGAATCGCAGAAGGCGAAGCAGCCGTCCGGCACGCACGAATCGCATGACACCTGCTCTGAAACCAAGATGTGTAGCCTAGGGTTGGGTTTCAAAATTTCGAATTTATGTCGTAAAGTCGAAATTCTTTGTCCAGCAAACAATATATAGACAAGAACATTGGAGCTACCGTTGTACGCACTAGTGTCCAGTTGCCTTCCGCTGCGCAGAAGAAATGGTGCGCCTGAAAGCACATCAGTCGAAACTCCAGACCCATGTCAGAGCCTGGCCCCACACCCTAAATCCTAAACCTGCACCCAACTCAAAAACACCCACTCATCGGCCTAGAAAGTGAAGCCATGAGCCGCGGTCTGAGTGGAGAACAGACAGCAAATCCTTGCCGAAGAAGCCATGGGTCTGAACCCTAGACCCTAAAAACCCTACGCCCTACACCCAAACCTTAAGTCGGCTTGCAACTTCAGGGATCGAAAGATGTTGAATAAGGAGACTTATGGGCTGCGGTTTTAGGAACTGCAGGTATGGTTACCCCAGAGGAGTCCATGTATACTACCATTATGGACGGAGTTTGGTCCCAAAAGACCATTCTTACTATGGTTTGGGGGACCTAATTCCATAGCAGTAGTATACTTGGACCCTCTCGGTACCTCATTCATAATGCTAGTAACTCAGTCTCATAGTCGTTTTGATGGTGTATGGCGTATGGCGTATATGGCTTGCCGGCCTGTAGGGCTGGGCTCCATTCGCTGTCTGGGTTTGAGAAAGTGCCGGGAAGGTTACATCGAAGAAATTTAGGGTGTCATATCGAGCATTTTACAGCCGAGTGCTGCCATTTATTTAGCTGCTGCTGCTGCGGCTCCTCCTCCTCCTGCTCGTCCTACCCCTGCCTGAGAATTCCCCAATACCCTCAATTCCTGAATCGCGTCACGAATGGGATGCTGGTACAGTACCAGCCGGGGCCTTCTCTTCCTAGATCCCCCAGTAGACCCACAAGATCAGGGGGGTATGTTCGGCATTTCCGCAGGCTCTTCCGTGTCCTCAGAAGGAGCGACCCACAGGGCAACGAAAAGGGGACTGCTGGTTGTCTCGAGGCGGGGCTCTGGGACGAGGATGCAGAGGTCAAAAGGCATCCACGACATCATGTAGGCCTTCGCAAGACACGGCTTTAATAACTGCGTATCTGGTTCAGGAATAGAAATGATGAGTGGATGAATAGAGGTTAACATGTGGGGGAAGAAGGTTACCAAGTACTTGGACTCTGCACATCAGTTCTGGCTGCTGAAGTAGACCTGCAGCAAGGACCCAGAAAAGAACACAAACAACGACCATTATCCCTCATCAAAGTTTGTGTCTGGGTGCTTGTATTGGTTCCTAATGCAGGCCTTCATAGGGGTCTGAATAACAAGAAGGGCTGGGGCAGAGTATACCTCCACCGAACCCTAGGGAAGTTGTTCGACCTCTGTGTTGGACCTGCAGGCCTTCGCAATGCCGACGCCATCCTGCACCAACCTGCCATCAACCTTGGAAAGCTTGTGAACTCCGATTCGGCCCCTGAGCCCCTACTCAATATAGGAGCCTTTCTGAATAAGGGGCCCTTTAGAGGGCAGCACAGGATTGTCGGCATAGTATACCATAGCTATAACCAGAACCCTAAAGAATATTATTCAACAGTTTGTAGATGTTGAGGATCTGACCTGCATTACCCGCTCCTGGTGATTGCAAATGCCCTCCCGCAGTTTCCCCCTTTGCACCAGCCTGAAACCCGTCCTCTCCTGGTTGGGGATGTTCTCATGACTGCAGTTGCTAAAACCGGAACAATACGTTGTGCGCCTGCTTACAGGATCATGACATCTCGTACTTCGGGATATGAATAAGGTGACTAGGCTTATACCTACGTATAGCCTCATTCAGGAAATTCTCGCAGTGTGTGTGCTGAATCCCATGACTCTCGAAGTAAGCTAGGAAGCTTGGTATGCTGTCCTCGCTCAAGGTGGCACGGCTGATGTCACCCTTGGGATCCGTAGATTGTCCTGATATCGTACAAGCCGTCGTCATAGTGTTCTCCCACTTCCCCCGAAACATCCCAATACAAAAGTTGCTGGCCTGGTCAGATTTGATCGGACTGCTTCTGTTCCCGCAGCTGCCCGTGAGTCTGCCAGTCATGGCTGCACTCTCGCTTAGAAAACCTGCACCCATGCAGCTGCAGCTGGCGCTTTTCATCAACGCCTTACAACGTTCAACCAAAAACACAACATGTACTCCCCTCCCACCCCACCCCTCCCACCCTCTCGCCCAACTCGAAACTAGGGGTGAAGATCTGTCGGTGCCGGAAGCACCTGAATCTATGGAGGCTTACACACGGGAACTCTCGGAGCTTCGCGTCCAATCCACACCGGGCCACATACACGGCCGTGAAGAAAGATAGCACCACGTCCTCAGCTCAATGGCTTGTTCCACTGTAACACTGAGTTACTAAGTGTGCAAAGGATCCACAGATTAGATACCTGGGTTTGGGATGATTGGGTTGGTATTTGGGGGAGTATATTGGAGTTAGGTACTTGGACCCTTCGGGTAAGAGGCTTCCGAAGGCTGCTGGTTCTTGCAGTTGTGCTTCACTTCTCGGAATCGTAGTCTCCGCTATCTCCAGTAAACATGATTGTAAATGGACAGCAGCAAAAAACGCATCAAAGGCTTGCGTGCTATGTGGGTTCTAATCAGCTCCAAACGACAAGTCTCCAGTGACCAGAAAGCAGCACTGACCACAATCCAAGAGTTTTGCATGCCTCTCTGGTCATCTTCCCCGTCAAACACCTGTGGCGCGGTGAGGGTTTGGGGTTCTTTGTTTAGGCTTTAGGACTGTGGGTTTATGTGCGTGGGAAAGAACTATATATGTTCACATACTTGTAAGTTGTACCCTAGTAATGCTGGGTCGCACCTTGGCAGGTTCGACAAGCTGCAAGTGTTCCAAGGCAGGGTCATAGGGGTTTAGGGTTGTCTCCGCAAACTTGGGCAAGGTCGAGCACTTTTCAAAACACTACGTCCGGATTTCTGTAATACTAGAGCTCAGAGCGAAGTTTGATACTGCCATAAGCCCCGCCACCGTTCGCCCCACGACGATGCCTATCCGGACGAGTGTCGCTCGCATTCATGTTGCGCCCTGTGCCACTGCTTGTTTATTGTAAAAAACCCAAAAGCCTAAACCCTTTAACCCGGAATGACAAGGTGCATGGAGCGGGCTCAGAAGCATGTCCTGCAACAGGATGAGGAGCGTGAGGGCATCCCAGCACCTGAGTGCCAACAAGCAGTACCATAGGTATAGCGTTTACCTGTAGGGTATAAGCCTCAAGCGCATCAGAATTTTGGATCCACGAGTTGGGGGGGGGGTGCCAAATCTCAACATATTTCAAACAAGGATTGCGAAAGGTGTACTTCGTTGCAGTCTGTGAGCCAAAAGACTTACCGTTGCCAGCCGGCATACCTACTATAGGTGTCTGAGGAAGCGGTAACGCTGTCTCCGTTTAGTTGTTCAATTCCTCATTCAACTGCGGTATCCGGTATCCGACGTAAAAATAGAATATGCCATACACCCAGTACGCGGCAACGGATGGGGCTCCTGCATAAACCCTACACAAACGTGCACAGCCGCGCTGAAGCGCTACAGAGGGGTCCCTACATTACAGACACAAAGATTGGACCCTTATACCTTTTACCCCCAAACCCAAACCCTACGCCCGAAAGCCTCAAAAACCAGACCAGCTCCTGGGATGCGGTGGGGATCTCTGGGGTGGCAGCTGGTGTAACGCAGGGGCCTGCGGCTGAGGGTTTGGGGGTTGAACGTCAGGAATGTCGGGGTCCTAAACCCTCAACCCAAACACTAGGATCCTAACCATGAGATGGTGAAACCAGAAATGAGCTGCAATGGAGACTACAGGTAGGGCTTACCCCTAACCCCTGAATCCTAAAACCCTAACCCCTTAACCTTAAACTCTAAACACTACACCCTTCATTTCTAGCCCCGAAAACCCTACCCCTTAACTCCTGAACCCTAAATCGTAAACTCTATTCCCTCAACCCTAAATTTTAACCCCTGAACCCCAAACCCTAACCCCTAAACCCTAACTGAGGCTCTGGCAAGCGAAACCTAGAGGAGGGATACAAAATCCATCGTGATGCGCGCTCCTCCTTTGGAAGCTTCAAAAACGGTTTAGGAGGTTTAGGGTTTAGGGCTCAGGGGGTTTAGGGCTATAAGGGGGTCTAGGGTTCGGGGTTTAAGGGGTTCAGGGTTTAGGGGGTTTTATGGCTTAGGGGGTTTAGGGCTTAGAGGGTTTAGGGTTGGTTAAGGGGGTCTCGGGTAGGGTTCAGGAGATGTAAACGAGAGTAGCCACCGTGGCAGAGACACAGTACCAAACTAGCAGGAGGAATTGGACGAAGAATCAGCAAGCTATAGACGCTGCATCATCATTGGGCCATTTATTAGCGCTTTGGGTTTAGAGGGCTGCGGTTTAGGGTTTAGGGTTTAGGCAATGGCATCCAAGCTTCAATGACCCGCACCGCTGTTGGCGATGATGGCATCCTCCTGGTTTTACTTCTGCTCCAGGTCTTCACAGCTTTCATCGACCTCGGGCGTGTCACCAGGGAGCAGTGCTGACTGCAGCTGTTGGAGAATCATGGGACTTAGTAAATTAGAGGAGCTTGAAAATAGGTTCCAATCGCCTCAAACGGGGTTATAAACTGTCATCAGTACAGGTCAGTTACATATATCGATAACCCTGGCTACAAGGTGTCATGATCGTTGAAGCACCCATGCTTCTACACTGCGTCGGCCTTGACCCAGGCCTGCGGAGTGCTTTGCAAGACTCTCCGAATTGTGGGAAGCTCCGTTTCTAGAATACAAAACCTTCCTCAATATGGCTCCTTGCTATGATTACCGGATGTCCTTCGAACGCTGTTAGGGTTAAGGCAGGGCTTTGGGTAGTGGTTTTCGTGGTTTAGAGGGGAGGTATAGACTTGTACAAACGTGTAAGCAAAACACATTACTTCGACAAAAGCAAACCGCATGCACGGACGGATAAAGGGAAAGAAGGAACAAACAGCAAAAGAAAAACGCTTTCTTGATATTACGTGGTTTTCGTGTCTTTCCTTTGGTGTCCTTTCGGTACGCCCACTCCATTCGCTGATTATAATCTGAAGAGAAGCGAAGCGGAACAAAATGAAGGAAACCATGGATAACAAAACATAACGTCATGATGTGACAGCATGCTTTCGTTCATTTCTGTTCCGTTCATGTCGCTTCGATTGCACCTTCTGCCTATCTCTTGCGTTCATTGCTTTTCTGATAATCCGCCGAGGCTTCCGAGGCGCTTAGATTTAAACCTCCCATGCTCTCAATTCTCCTTCCCGTTTATCACTGACTTTGGGGTCCATTTTGGGCTGTCGGGGCTCCCGGGGGCGGTTACAATCTTCTCATAGGCTGCTGAGTGATGGGGTTTAGTTGGTTGGTTGGTGGTTGGGTGGTTGGCAGGTTGGCTGGTGCGTCGATTTGTCGAGAGATGTCGTTGGGTTGGTTGGTCGGTCGGTTGTCGGTTGGTCTCTGCTGCCTGTCTTCTTGAATCTAAGATTAAGATCTCTTTGCCCCAAATCCCACGTGGCCGAGGCGGGTTCGCGCGGCAGTTACATGAGATCAGATGGCGAACGAAGCTCTTCGTTTCGCTCATTCTCATGTCTGCTTCATTCGAAGAAAGACATTACCTGAACCCCGAAACACCTTAAGGCATTTTCTAGCGAAATCACAACAGGGAGCCCTATAAGCTCTTGGTTTCTCAAAGCCCTGATAGACTCTAAATCTCCAATCCCGAACCCCAAAACGACCGGATAGTTTGTGGCAGTATGAGGGGGAACCTTGTAGAGTTGGGTATTTCGACCGTTGGGGTAAACCCAAACCATCCTAAACCCTAAACCACGCCAGAGCCTCAAATCCCAATCCTTGATCGAACAACCAAGACACCTACCTAGGAGTTTCAAAGATCTTGTTGAAGATTCTATATGAGGCTGCCAAGGATCACATATTTAAGATTCTGTACGAGGGTGCCCCACTTTCCCACCCCCACCTGTTCGCGAGAGCGACCAGTTGTGGTTGCAGCGGATAGCGTAGGACCTGCAACACCCTCTGTGCGTTACTAACCTCCCACAGGACTCAACATAAAATCATAAACGCATCCGGTTTCGAAGTTCTCGCACGCCCTCATTCCTGCCATGTTCTTGCCCCTTTAACGTGTTCTTGATCTGTGAATGGCTCGTGAATGCCTGTGTGCTTGGGATTGCTGCGTTTGCGGCTGGAATTCCAAGGAAGCTTCGTGTACCTCCCAAGACTGCTCAATAGCTTAGAAATTCACCAAGTACCACGAGACCTCCTCATCCGCGGCAAACGCAGCGTCTTGTTGCCTTGGCAGAGCCGCTTGCAGGGGTGCTGCCCAGTGGATAATGATAAGGGCTAAAACTGTTAAACTCTGAAGCCCTTCCGGCAGCCCTTACGTCAAAAACCTAAACCATAAACCTTTACAAATGCCTGTCAACGCCGCTTTATTGGGCCTGCTGTAAACCCCCGATAGTAGGACCCCAGCTTTATAAATAGATATAAATAGCACATTGCGGCTAACCGACTCTAAATACGATCATCCTTCTTGCCAGGACCTGATTATAATACAACTGTAACAGAGGCGCTAGAAGAGCACATGTTGCAAACATGCGGCTACGCAAGATTCCTCGGCGCACCTACTGTACATCAAAAGGTTTGACGCCAGCTGAATCAACCTCTTACCCTGATTTCTCGACCAATCAGGCCTTTGCCGCTCTCAAACCCTACGTCCACAACCCCAAGCATGAAACCGTCAGGACACAACCGAAAACCACCGACCCAAGCCGGGCGCCCTTTCATCAACTGGACACATGTGCCCACAGTGAAGTGCTTCTGCCGATCATGGCAAACATGACTGCTGGCTTCCTGCGGATCATGGTTAGGCAAACAGCATGCCGCAGACACTGGGGTTGACACTGCTTTGGAGAAAAAAACTTTCTTCCTCTCTCTACTCCTTCAAGAAGGACAGGTCCAGGGGAGAGCGTACATGGCTCCACCATTTGCCACAACAAATTGCTTTTGTCAACACGTCGGCAAACTGCAGATGTGTTGGCAACCAGCGGAGGTGAGCTCGTCCGGACTTACCCTCGCAGTGTCGTGCCTCCCTCAAAGGACCCATGTCGATCGCTAAGTGCTTGTCTTTAGGCACCGGTGGGATCCCTTCTTTATGAAACCGATCAAGGAAGCCGTTGCATTCGCTCAGACAGCTCAATCCTGAACCGTGGAGGTCCTCAACCCTCACGATCTTGAAATCGATAATGGAGTGGGTGAAGGATCGCACGTATTGCGCAAGTTCCCGTCCTTCAATGCAGGCAGATCGAGTTTCGGCCCCGAGAGTGGACCGACATGTCGAAGACTTCCGTTCCAGCATGCTAGAACAGTTCAAACCGTTTTGGATGTCTCGCTCGGTCATCATCACCAAGAGCCCGTACTGGCTCGGCCACATGCGCTGAAGCGCGCTTGGCCTTACGGATTCCGGCGCATCGGTCATGAAGCCAAGCCTGTGGTCCGCAGGAGGAGAAAGACTGGAAAGGTCCTGTCCGGCCAAAGACATCGGAAGGGTTGGCCCAGGCTGCACGATGAAAAGGTCACGGCTTGGAGAGTGTCAATGTCCAGCGGGTACAGGTGGATTTCCTTGTCCTGGTGCTTCAAAGCTCGAGCGGAGGCCTCGTTGGAAAAGTGGATTTCGGCGACCAGGGGCCGCTGTTGCATCTGCTGAGCTTGTGACACAGAGGCCAACAAATCTGGCCTTGTCTGTCCCGCCGACCCCCAGTAGCCTGATTTGCCGAAGGAATGGCATACTCATCACCCTTTCCGTCCACGAGCTCGCACAAGCCGAAGATACACGGATCCGACCTTGGTTGGAGCAGGGCGTAAGTCTTGCCGTCCTGGTCCACGTTGAGTTCCTCTGGGACGCTACGAACTTCTTCCCACCATGTCCTGGCAAGCCCGAACACTCCTGTATCTATCTGGAACAAAGCGTCCTCAGCTCCTCCATGCCTTCCACTCCAGTCTTTCGCTGTACATGTCGAAGATCTAGGAGCCGCTGCGGTCCGATGAGGAGACATCCACGCCTGACCGTCCTGCTCCTTGCGGTCCCTTTGTTGGCGCCGGGTTTCTTCGTCGGTGAAGGCCTTCGGCGGTGACGCTAGGCTTTCTTTCGGCCACCCTCCAGCTCAAGAAAGAAGTTGAGGAAGTCCACGGAAGCTTGAGGCTTCGTTCATGCAGCACGGCTGCGCTTTGGAAGCGTTGGGGGTTCGCTCGTTGAGTTGTTGACGGAAGCTAAGAGTGCTAAGAGGGCTAACTTCGCCGATCTTGCCGACCTCAACCCCTGGAAACGCTCAGCTATCCATTCAGTGAAGATCTCGATGCCATTCTCCTGAGCGAGGGACTCGACTCAATTCCTCCGACGCAACCCCAGCTCTGCCACTGAGGCTCTGATACAGAGGTAGTGCTCGTTGAGCTGGAGAGGTCTTTGTCACCTTGCACCATGCGGTAAGCTGACGAAGATATAGCCTGGCATCTGCACCTAGGTCCTCGCCAGACTTGTCGGCGCTGAAGGTTGGGACCGACATGCGCTCGGTGATGGTGTTAAGCTTTTGCAGGGCCCCAGAAGTCCCAGTCGTCAGTCTGCTTGTCGTCGGAGTCACTGTTCCACCGGTCGTGTGGCCAATCTCGCCATCGGCTTCGCGAATCGTCTTGCCGCTGAGCTCGGTTCTCCTCATGCCGGCGATCTTGAACCCAATCAGACACCGCTGCCATGCGCTGTCTTCCCAAGACGTTGGGCCAGCCGAATGACTCCATCCCGAATCGCTCTCTTCCCAGCCTTGCGGTGATGCCATCGATCTTGGGCTTGATCGTCGCGACCATCCTGTTCAACTGCGCCTTGATCACCATTGGATGAGCACCATCGGTTTGAGCAGACGGATCAGCTCCCTGCTGCTGCGAAGCACCCTGTTGCAACGCAGCCCATGGATCCGCCGGGTTCTGGCCGACACTGGCTGTGGAAGCACCACTGGTCGCAGCCATGGCTGAAAACTAAGGGAAAATCCACCACTGGTCACCAAACAACCACAAGCAACCACTGAGCCCAGGACCGCGGCCTAAGCTCCGCTACAAATCGGGCAGCGCTCGGTCCCCGAGCCCGCGCGCCCTGTGGATCGTAGCCGGCGAGCTTTGGCTTGCTAGCTTTGTTTTCGCAAAGGCGCGACCGCCTATGCCACCGTCAGCATCAGTGGGGCTGTGGGGACACGGGGGAAGGGGGGGAGAAGGCACCCCTCGTCTTTGTCAAATGTTGTTCTAGATGGTTTGCGGTTTGAAGCTCAAGTTTACTCAGCATCAGCGGGGTTCGGCGGGGGTTGGAGAGAGGGGCGAGGTGCACTTGAGCCCCGAGCTGCTCCCTGGGCGCAGCCCCTATAGAATGTGGCAGCGCTCGGTCCCCGAGCGCATGCGCCCTGTGGATCCGAGCCTCAGGCGAGCTTTAGCTTGCTAGCTTTGCTTTAGCATGCTCAGGCCACCAACCCCGCCTAATTTCGAGTTTTTGTTTGCGTGATTTTGGGGTAGCGATGGGCATCCCCCAAAGGGCGCGCATCATGAGCATCAGTGGCCCCAGTCCGGGACCCGGGGCGCGCATCATCAGCATCAGTGGGGTCCTTGCTCCCTGCGCTGTTCGCCTGTGGGCAGCCCCTAGAATGCGAAACACCGAAAACCACCGACCCAAGACGACCGCACGAACCTACCCCGGGCCCCCTTTCATCAGCTGATAATACACTTCCCGCGGTGAAGTGCTTAACTTCTGCCGATCATGGCAAACGTGACTGCTGGCTCCTGCCGATCATGGTTACACAAACACCATGCCGCAGACACAGGGAAGCCGGAAAACCCCAAGGCCTGACCACGGCTCCGAGCCGTGGGAGGCCTCTAAAGGTTTGGGCGCATCCGACTCCAGAAGAAGGACAGTATTCACCGGACGAAGCAGCTCAGCATCAATACTGTCGCATCAACGAACAGCAAAACCAACAGCAGCAGTTCCGAACAAACGACCAATGGCACAGTGGCGCTCTTCTGCAAGCCTGGCAATTGAAAAAGCCAATGCCAGGACTTGCAAGGCACCGGCCCCCGATGTTTGTCAAACTGTAATACTGCTCCATCTTGTCAATCTCAGGATGGATGACGTGGCAGCGATAGCGGTGGCATGAGCAGTGCAGTAGATGACACGCACTGTAGAAGCAATCGTACTATGACTCTAAGAACAGGAGTTGAATGAACGACCATGCAGGCTGCGGAAGATGCCAAGCAATAGTTCAAGCATTCCCGAAGCGATCCTACCTACTCGTATGGGGGATGCTGGCACGAAAAACACTAAAGAGTTCCCAATATTCCGAATCTAGAAACCAAAGTTCTACCTCTGATTAAGCCCCCCGAAAACCCTGGAAAACAAAGCAGCCCTTGCAGAACCCGACGCAACCCTAAGACAGAGGCCTTAATAATCAGAATAGGTCATTTTGGTATGTTATGTTGGAGCGAGCAGAAGGAACCCTAACTTGCATAGAACTCGTTGGCCATGAAGTCTAAGCCCTAAACTAAACTCTGAACCCATACTAAACCCGATACCCTAAATCCTAAGCCCTAATCCCTAAACTCTAAACCGCTGGGCGGCTCTTGGCTGCAACTCAGGGTATCTCGCACACTGCGGCTCAACCGGCCTGGGCAAAAAAGCAAGGGGACTTCATGCTTGGAATTGGGATCCTTTGATTTAAGAGAGCCCGTCAAGGGAGCTGCAAGACTATAAGGTTTACACGGATTGCCATTGGAGTGTATAATCATATACTTACCGACGGACTGCTATATGTAGCATGAACATCTCGGGTCGATCAGGAGATGCGATTCCAGAAGCTGTGAGGGCCGGGGGTTTTACCGAAGTGCCTCACCATAGGAAAGTCTCTTACCTGGTGTGTAACGTAAAGGCCTGACTAAATAGAACAGGGCTTTGGGGGCCTGTATAGTTTACTTATAATAAGGAACCTAAGGAATGATGTTGGTCAGTCTTTAGGCTTCTATGTTAGTCGTCTGCCTTGCTCCATGTGGCCTACTGGTGATTCCCTACCCCATATGGCTCTATGTCTGAGCCAACCCATGCCTGTTGCACATGCTTACAGGCACAAGGTTCCTCTAATGAGCTCAGCCGCAGAATTACAGCACCCGAAATCATAAACCCTATACTCTAAGACCCTAATATAAGCCCTTAACCCGCAAAGCGCTTGGGGGCTTTTCAAGTGTTCTTTTACGCGTTATGGCTTCTTTTCGGAGGGTCTTCGAAAATTTCTGCTTCACGTAGTTACCTTCTAGTTTAGGGAGCAGAGACCCCATCACAAGCAAGCAAAAGTGACAGGCAAGTTGCTGTCCACACGCTCCTCGGCTCCTGGAAACCAGTCTGGCCAACACAGACTCTGAAAGCCGCTCTTTTCAGAGGAAAATACTCTTAAATCCCATTCAGGGTAAAAGACAGCTCAATAGGAATATGGCATCATAAGGTTGCTTGCTCAATATCGAGACCCACCATCTGGAGACAGCGTGAAAACTGGAAATGATGCATTTGGGTTCAGCGCGAACCAGTACTCAACATGAGGTGCCGTCTCAGTGGACTGACCCAAGGAATCCCAAACAATCGTAGTTGCTCCGATAAACAAACCTAATTACACTCCAATATGTGTGACCCTTTGGGCTCAGAAGAGACACGGCACGGGTTCTGGATGTGCATCGACCTTCTCTGGCAATATCGAAGTTTCCGAGTAGGCACATTAGCAAAACCTGCACTGCTCGACAGGGTTTTACCCTGAGGGTCCACGTACCTAATCATCACGCACTCTCAAATACTACCTACACAGCTACTAGCCCAAACCCGAATACCGAATTATTGGTCCTTTGGACTTTGGGTTCAAGTGCCTCAGACCTTTCAGGGGCCACTGCTTGGCGCACATGCCTGCCCTTCCCCGGTTCGCACCATCCCTTCTGCTGTCCTGGCGAAAATGCTGACCTCCGGGCAGGAAAACGATAATCTAGGGCTTGGTAATGAGATGCGGGCTCTGGGCTACAAAACTACAGGGAAATATTGTCACTAGCTCGCCACACCCCTATATATCAAAAGCTGCAACATAGACTTGTATATCCACATTCAGGCTGTTGGAATCTTAAGCATTGCAATCGCGAGGCGAAGGACTGTTCAAAAACCACGCGCAAAAACACACACACACACATACACTGCTTCAATCTCACAGTACAGATAAGGCAACTAACTTACTAAATGCCGAAGGCTGGACCTTGCATATCCTCCTAACCTTTTTTTAAGGACTGGCTCAACCTTTGACATGAAAATACTACCTGTTCAAATCCTGGTGGTGTTTCTAAGAGCAGACCTGGGCCGCCCATTGTATTGCACCGAGCAGGCAGATACTTGCAGGCAGGATGTTCGGATAGACAGCGAAGCGATCTGAAACGTTTCATGTCTCAACAAAAGATTCCACAGTCTCTGCGCACACACGGAATCGGGTCTCTTGCTAAAGTCTTCCCAGACAGGGGAAGAAAATGTAAGGAGATACCCCAACAGACTCGGGTCAACCGCATATTTTGAACACCTCTGACAGCTCCTTCCAGAAGTCATCCACTCAGACCGACATCCTGTAGCATACTTTGTCATGACCCTGAAACCCCCATAGGAGTGTACGTAGGATCTTACCGCGTTAGGTCTCAGCGCCTTAGGGATACGGGCTTTAAGCTTTAAGTGTTCCGAGGGATTAGGGCTTTGGGGTTTAAGGGGATCACGGTGATAAGGTTTAGCGTCTACGAAGTGACAAGGTCCAAGTGTCCATTACATGTCTCCGCAGCATGCTGCTTCTCTCCATGTTTAGAGTTGAGGGTTCATTAGCGCTTAGGGTTTTGGATAGAAGGCTTTGGGATCCAAGTCACACGCTTTGCATACTGTGCTGCGCTATGACATGAACCGTGCTGAAAGTGGGTTTACTACGTACACTACACTTCACACCGAAACAATAACCTGCAATTTCATACACCCTGCTGCACACTAACATCTGACACCGAAACACTGTAAACGCACACAAAGCAATGCCAGCCGACACTTGCACATTACTACACTATAGCATTCAGGAAGAATCAACAAGTCACGACAACACACAAGCAAACTTGTGAACACGCTATGGCCTTTCCGAGCGTGTTCTCGCAGAGGTCTTGGGGGGAGACTTCGTCGCAGCGGAACTTGAGGTAGATATCTTCCTGGCGAGTGTTTCAATGTTTCTAAAGAGTTCTATAGCGTTTCAAAGGGTTGGATACAGAAGCCTTCCTGATCAAAACAGGAAGTCGGGGTACAAGAGTATCAGGTCGTTGTGAAGAACGCTCTCAGCCCCGACGCCCCCAAGACCTAAACCAAACAAAATCCCAAGACTCCAAGTATTACGGCTATAGATCTTCACGACCCGCAACATTACTACAGGCCAAGAAAGTCCAAGGTACCCTGGCGAGGCCCGTTGATCTGCAAGGACCTCGGGGATGGTCAGGGGCGAAAGGACTGAGACACTACCAAAGTTCCAGACAATCAATGTCCATGTACTCCTCTCTCACAGTAGCCTGTGTATGTACGTATGTAATGTATGTATGTATGTATGTCCGGTATGTATGTATGTATGTATGTATGTATGTATGTATGTATCTATGTGTATGAAAGAATGCGTCGATAATAATGACGACCATACTAGTAGAGAAATATGAACTGTAATGCTGATATCTATCTTTACTCTGTGTATGATTTTTCTGCTTCCTACATCCTTGTGACTATGTGTTGCTATTACTAACAGTGACACTAGTAACCGTCGTCTTGGTTATGGTATTGCTGATGATTGTTATCATTGTTACTGAGCGTGATCTTATCCTTCGTACTTGTTGCTGCTTTGATGTCAGAAAGCAATAGCCCAAAGCTTTGACAGTAGCCACATGTACACATATGTGCATACACATGGTCTTCATGTGCGTGTAAGTACATACATGACTAAATGTCATGTATACATATATATATATATATATATGTATATGTACACATATATATATATATAAATATGCATGTATGCATGCATATAGGTATGTATGTATGTATGGTATGTCTGTATGTATGAATGTATGTATGTAATTTGATAGTTTCTGTATATGTTTCTGCTTATGTATTTCTTGTTTGCTACTCGTATTAGGTTGTACTTGTTATCACTGTTACATACACAAAAGTATATAGGGGACCCCATTTAGATATCTGGGGTAGGGTTGGTGGGGTCGGGTGGTGGTCACTAGGTGCTTTCGGCTTTGCCACCAACACTCATGCAACCTAGGGTTGAAGTGCCAAGCGTGGGCCCAGCATTGCGCATCGACGGCTTCAGGGGTGAGGTACGATAGGTCATGCAGGGCATAGTGACATCTTTGTGATAACCCCTCGCTCTCCCTGCCGGCATGCAGGCACGGAAGAACACACCACATTCCGTTTGAAGCACATATGCAGGTTGAAAACAACATAGCTAATCAAATCACATTGTCAAGTCCTTTGCGCATACATATATTGCTGTCTCTACACAAACACATATACACATACGGACATACGGTTTTATACACCTCATCCTATCCCAAACCCTAAACTGCCCATGCCCTAAACCCAAGCACCTCTGGCACCAGGGCACAGCTTCGAAACTGAGCGATTCGACCAGCTTGCCATGCAGGGCGAGCAAATCCTGAGATTCTCCCGGGCCCTAAACCCGAAACCCTGGTCCAGATGGCAAAACAGGAGGCCCCGTCCCGATTATGAACAAAGGCCGGGCAGAAAATTCACGCTGGCACATTTACAGAGAAGGGTCTCGACAAATAACCAATCCGCAATAAGCGTTATAAGTGCTGGGTTCCCTCAATACTAGGTGTACGAATTTTCTATAACATTAACCAAAGCCCAATCCGAATTGTTGCGCAAGCAGCTTAGCTAACAACCTGACGCAACAGACTTTGTCAGCGGGCATGGAGTCTGAATTGGGACTGCAGCTATACTCACAGGATGATCACACTTCGCAGCTAAGCTGTGAACAATGGACAACGGAACTATACTCCTGTTATCTTGTTACCCAATTTCGGCACCTGTAGCACTAACTTCATGCAACCCAAAACACCCCCCTACCAGAATCAAGTGCTGGGATCTTGTTAGGGAACTAGATTTAAGTTACGATACCAGGGATCTATAGTCCATAACAGGGCTTCCTCATTATGGTAACTTCAAATGAATCCCTGAACAAGAAACGTGATTGTATGAAGCAAGCGTCTGCAAGCAGATCCTGGACAGTCTCACGCTCCTGGGGAGTAGATATGCGGAAGCAGTCAGGACGAACGCAAAGTGTTCATGCACACCACCATGCAATTAGGTAAAGACACGAGGCCGTTCTTTCATTGAACAACATGGCTGAAAAAAGACTCTTGCACAACTCGCAGGAGGCTGTCACTAACCTGGGCCAACAAGGAATCTTCTCTGCTGCCCCCTTGCCCAGAAAACAGGAACCAGGACGGACCTGCGGGAATCGCGAGAACACGATAGTTGTGTACTCATTCAACTGCAACAAGCACCGAAGATCACTGTAATCAGCAAGCCTATACCTCTTGCGAAAGTCACGTGACCGAGATGCATGATCAGCAGCTTCTGCTTCTGGGCCACCATATTTCTGGGTTTGAAAGGTTTAGTACGGAGTACTGAACCTTCAAGGCTTCCGATATGTCCTGCTCGTTGATCTGTGCCTGCCTCTCACCCTCTTTGAAGTCTGACGAATCCTGAGATGTCAGCGGTCCCTGTAATCTCAAGGGCGTGTTGGCAATAATCAATACAGTGCACATGCAAGTGATGATGGCAATCCACGCGGAACCCATTGTCACCGACTCAAGCAGCTTTGTGGGCCATTCTACCGGGCGAACGAACGCATAATCGCATGCTGCACCTCATATACAAGTCAGACGGCGCCAACACTGCGAAAATGTCAAATAAAAAAACTGCGAGGCCAGTTCCTCAGACCTCGAATTGCGAAATGAAACGTTGAACACCGCACATATGCACAAACCAAGCATTAAACAACCAGTTCATACAGAAACTGCAACTTCTTCAAACCAAAAGGAGAAGCCTTAGTTAAAGGCTGATGACAAACTGACACACTGAGAGGACTTGCTTGTAACATGAAGCCCACAAGCGCTCTCAACAATTAAAGCCCAACAACTGGCCAATCTGGAGCTTCATCGCACGAACCTCTGCCAGCGATGGCACAAACTCCGTGAACATGTGTCTGTGTTGGAGACAGGCAGCTGCTGTGGGCAGCATTGGCGGTTCCGTGTCCGGAACTGTGATGTTTGCCATTGAGGTGAAACTGGGACCAGAGGAGAGACACACTAAGTACCCAAGATCCTCTGCCCGAAAAGCAACAAACTGCTGCCTTGAGCCGGGAATGCACAATGCCTATGCCCACATCGCTGGATGATGACGATGATGGTGGTGATGATGATCTGCCCCTATCATGGACCCTGTTGCTGTAGGTCACCATCTAAGTCATCTGGTACATGTTAACTCGCTACACAGCGAGTCACACATGGAACGCAAAAGCAACAGTTCGTGCCACATCTGCACAGTCAATGAAGAACGCCGTGAGGAAATGCAAATCTATGTGGCAACAGCAGGCAACATTGTCATACAGGTATTGACAGGTCATTCCTGATTTCTCAACCACAAGTAACTCATCAGTTGCTACCCACTTGATATCTGTTACAAGTTGTTATATTTGTCTGCATACTCGCCAGGTATTTCGGTAAGATTCCAATGCTTACATCGTTTTTCGGCTTTATGTACTACTTCCGTGCTATAAACTAGAATGGTGCTAGTACTTGCTGAAATATCTAATTACCTGACATGTGTTAGGCTAACTGTTGGCGAACATTGAAATAATACATAACTATGTGTCTTGCTACCAAATATGGCATGCATGTTGTCTTTCGGGTTATGCTGGCGTAATTGTGGTAAAACTAGCCAACAGTCTAGTAATGCATCCTTAAAGCTTGACAATATCACTGCTGTGCAGGCAACAAACCTAGAATGCGCGTGTATTTGAAACTCAGGAGTCACTGACACTGAACCGATGGTAAGTGCAGCAAGAAGCTATGCAGTGCAAGTTGAGCAGCATTTCTGTGACAGCTAATTACTCCGATAGCTAAGTCAACTTTAAACTATGTCAACGAGCATTTTATGCCTAACCACCTGTCAGAACTCTGCCCTGGAATTCCACCTACCATTGCTCAAGGTTGCCACCTACTTGCAGAGGCTTACATAGCTTCACGCCGCCTTGCCGGCGGCCCCCGCCCACTGCAAGCTGCCAATTATCATGGAACTTTGCAAGCTGATCCCAAATTCCAAGCAAACGGCAAGCAACAAACAAGCACATGGGAACAACTTAAATCATATGTCAAGGACAAAACATCGGCAAGAAGCCACACGAAAATCACGGCTCAAACTGTGGGCCAATTTCGGGCCAATGGCGAAGCAAGTTCGGATCAATGTCGGACAGTCACTAGTTCTTTCCTAGCCCTTTAAAGAAGCAGTTCCCAGGGATGGGCTCTTGGCGTGTGCGATGCAATATGGGAAGAATCGAGTGCAGACGCTCGAAATGTCATACTGTTCTAGAGGCGCACGGATGCAAGCGGCGGCACACGGATGACCACGGATGAAACGGATGAAGAACACACCTCTGGATCGGTTCTGCGGGGTGCCAGGGTGTGGTGACCTAAAACGCTTTCGCATCAATAATCATCAATGTCAAGGCAAGACAGGTCCCTCCAGAAGCACCCCTTGCCAGAGGAAGCCCGCACCAGCCTCCACGAAGAGCGCTGGATCATCGCGCCCGACGCAAAGGACTCCGGGGCAAAGTTCATAGCGCTGGAGGCCATGCTGCGTCTGCTGCGAGATGTCGACGCGATAAAGTAAAGCATGGGCAAGATCAAAGTCTTTCCGAGCCCATTCCTCCCCCTACTCCAACAGCAACAGAGCCACGCGGTGGTGCCGCAGTTACCATACACAGGGATCCTAATCGTGCACTCGAAGTTTGGCATGACCGTGGCCTTGATCCCCATGAGCCTGTATCAGTACAGGGGCTGCTTGGAGCGGATCTACAGGTTCAGCCCTCGATTAACGTGGACGACAGGTGGCTGTCCGTCAAGTGCAAAGAGGAAACTATGAACATCGACAGAACCAGGCACGTCCTCAAGGACGAGCCGGCCCTCCGACGCATCAGGCAGCGCAAAATCACCGAACCTCCAAGCATCTGATGAAGCAGCTGTGCCAAAGGGTGATCAATTGACGATTTCGCCGACAGCCCACACAGGAAGAGCGGACACGCGGCCCTGGACACACGCGCCAGGGGTCGACATTTACAGATTTCCACCTGGGTGAGCACCCAGAAACTGAGGATCAGCAATGCGGTGCGGGTGAACACCCAGTCCATGGTCTGGAGGCTTATCCCATCAAGTCTCCTTTTCCGGGTACAAGCGTCACCTGGCGGTCTCTTCACCAGTTGGTTACCTCACTCGTGGTCTGTCGTTTTGCTCTAAGACAAGTCAAACTCAGAGTTTCAGACGATAAGGAGACCGTCCTAGAGTATTACTATTCATCTCCTTAGCACGAGAACTGCAAATATTAATAAGCCAACATGTAGTATGGAAGCAAACGTCGACGTACAAGCTCGACCTGCAGTCACAGCTGACCACACTGAACGGAACCGTAAGCCCTAGTAGAGAACATCCAAATAAGCGCAGACGAAAGGAGACAAGGCGAGGATCAGACAAACAGCTCAGCTGTTTGCTCGTGATCGAAACTTGAAGTGCACATGGGTAGCCGGCGAACTTTGTGGCCCTTTAATTGCGGCTCTTACCAAATGTTGGTTGCATCATAGAACTCCATTCTCCTAAACCCTAAACCCCTTCTCCCTAAACCCTCCATGTTGCGACCATGATTCGGACTGCTACCCACTTTCAAACACCTTGGTCAGTGAACTGATCGAAACTGGGTGCTGGAGCCTCACACAGATCCAAAAACGCAGACTTGACATGCGACAACATCTGTCTACAATGCAGCCGGAACAAGACTGAAACAACATTCGCTCCACGAGTACCGCAGAACCCAGGGAATGAATTCAGAAAAGCGAAGTACCGCAGAGTCGTCCGTGGCTCCTGCGGTGTCTGCAGGGAGCGCGTACACTGGCAAACCTCTACCCCAAGTACCCTCCACCCGAAACCCTACACATCCTCGAATCTCACAACCCCAGACCAGACACGAACTCATACCTGAAACCCTACACATCCCCCCTAAAGTCACAAAAGAACACCGCGGAAGCACCCCAAGCCCTAAACCCTGCCTTAACAACGGTAGCCGAAATAGGCCTCGCCTTTCAAACCAAAGGGTACCCTGCCCATATGGTGTGTATAATATTATATATATATATATCATAGTGAAAGTATAAAGTATGAAGTATATATAGTGTATGGTCTCCGACGTTGAACCTTAGAGGCATCCCGATACCAAAAGAAGGGAGGGTATCACGGAAGCACCCGCTGCAGTTGCGGGCAGCTTTGGGTCGGCTTCTTCGCAACCGTAGGGTCCAGGGCCTAGGGTTAATGAGATTTTCACAGGATTTACAAAGGCTTGGGGTTAGGGTGCAGGGTTCTTTTATGGGGTTGACAGCGGTCCCATTATGGCTTCTATAAGGGGTTACAGGGTTTCAGGGTTTAGGGCATTCAGGGTTTGAAAGTTTGGGGTGTAAGGCTCCGGTCTCAATTCGGGTCTCAGGATGTCAGGATCTTAGGATGTAGAGTTGGCTTGAACGAACGACTCACAGGGTCATAAGCTTAAGGCATTTACGGCTTGTGAGGCTTCACCGGTCCTAGCTTTTGGGGCCCGAGGTTAGGGTGCAACTTCTTCAGGGCTCATAGGCCTTTGCTGTGTAGGTCTGCTCCATACCTGCAACGCCAGGAAGGGACTCGATGCAGAACTTACCGCGGTAGGCCTCGTCTTAGGGCCCACACATACATAGACATACCTTTTCCATGCAGAAGAAGGTGCTTCAAAACTCTTCAAGGTTTTTTTCCAAAATCAAGCAGCCACCGTAAACCCGCAGAAACCACAGCCGGAAAACCCCAAGTCTAAAAGCCCAAACCCTAAACCAAGTTTAGGTTTTAGGGCTTTTTGTTTGTAGAGTTTAGTGGCCTTTCTCCGTGCGCGAGTTTAGGGCATAGTGCTTAGGGTTTAGGAGTGGTTAAGGGGCATACACAACAAAACCTAAACTCAAAGCCCCCGATGACAAGTCAATAGCCGAACTATGCCGAACTGATGCAACGCTGGGTGGGTCCTGGCCCCGGAACTCCTTCGGCCGCGATGGAAAACCACGGTTTCAGGCTTTCGGTTTTACGAATGTTTAGGGCTTTGGGGGTTTAGGGTTTGGGCTTTGGGGCAGGGGTTTACCCAATGTATCCTAAGCACAGAGTATATCGTACCAAGTCATGCAGATATTTCACGGAGCTTTCGAGTCCCAAAGGCCCGACCAGTGTGGGTTAGACAGGGATTTGGGATCTGGATGTTTTGTTGTGTTGCAGGGCTTATTCGGTTTTGCAGTATGTTGCAGGATGATCGAAATTCGGTTTGCATTATGTTGCATTACAGTAGAAGCCAGAAAGGTGGAATGTCATTATCTGATGCCCTTAAGGTAACCTATACTATAGGGAATCCCAGCACTAATCCTCCTAAATTCTGGAGTTCAGGCGTTCACTGTATCTTCGGGAGTGCTATTCATGTGGACTCTGCAAACCAGAGCCCGATGCTCCTCGCCGCGCGTCGTGAAGAGCTTCCAAGCTAAGAAGGGCAAGAGGGTTCGCACCATTCGTTTGGATAAAGAGCCCAAGATCCTTGGGTCCAAAAGCATTCCTGAAAGTCAAGACGGGATCATTCACGGTGAATACACCCATCCGCCATGGGAGTTTGAGTGTCGGGTTTATAAGTCTGCCCTTCGCCCTATCAGCAATGCCAGACGTGGATCGAACAAACACTAAGGCGCAGAACCTGTTCAGGCGCTACGGCTAAACGGTTCTTCAGAAACTGCAAGATCCTAAATAGATTTAAAAAGACCGTAGTTGGTCGGATTCTTAAGAGAACCCTTTCAGAGAGGTACCTCTTTAGTTCAAGGAGTTCCCGGATGAAGCAGCCCAAACCGGTCCTGCAAGGGAGGCCGGCACTTTGGCATCGGGAAAGCCTGGTGAGCGAGAAGGAGGAGTGTCTTAGGGCTCTGGACTCTGGACATGGTTTGGGGTTCAGGTCTTCCATGA